AACTGTCACCATCAGATAAACAGCACTTAAAACTGCAATGCAATCAACTTCTAAGACTGAAGTTTGGAGGTGTGGAAAATACACCTGATGATTTATTTCAAAAACTAAGAGCAAGTCCCCTGAAAAGCTTGGAAGCTCTAAAAGAAAGGCAAAGAGTAAACACACGAAACACTGAACATTTTGAAATCATATTTAGTTGTTTATATTTTATATATTTTTTTAAATATATGTTTTCTGCTTGTTTGTCTGAAAAATGCTGAAAAATGAACTTGTTATAGGTCAATTGGACTTGAAATGGAATAAATGAAAGGTGGTCTTTGACTTTTGCACAGTACTGAATATTCCAGCAATGTCACCTTTATTTCCAGGTATTTGTGAACACATTTTATGCTCATAATTTATACACATAAAACAACAGTGCTCCCTGTGGACTTTCATTTTAGTTCAGCACAAGCTATTTGGAGCAAATAAAGCAAGATAGTGCCAAACTCACAAGCCACATACAAGCCTGTGATACACAGATATCAACAAATGGTCTGTATTGTCTGTGTGTTGCCAAGCCTTGGCTACAGCTACTTTCGGCACTTGTTTGTTTTGTAGAGTGCCTGACTTTAGCCTCCTTTCAGCAACTGAAACGCATGCTTGATTGGATTTAAATTGGGAAATTGATTCAGCCAGTCTGAGACTCTCTACTCCTTAGCCCTGCTGAATTGCACTGAGCTGCCTCGGCGGTGTGGGGCAGGTCACTGCAGGGCGATTACATGGACTGTGGGGATATATAGCAAAACAAAGTCAACCATTCTACACACTTCTGCTACCTTTGGTTACAATGTCAACAAGACAAGAGACGCAGCACCATATACAAAAGCGATAGGAAAGGATTGGTCAAGCCAGAAATGGAATGAGTAAGGTGGTCTGTCACTGGAGATTTTTAGCATATACATTACAGTATTGCAGAAAGGTCAAAGACTTCCCATTCATTTATTTCATTTCCAGTCAAAATGACCATTAAGTGCACGTTATTATTCAGCAACATACATTCAGCAACATACAACCTTCTCATGCCAACTTCCTTCTTTTATGTCTATGACTTTTTCTCAGTAAGAGATTCTTGTCAGCTACACATCCTTTCAGACTTAGTGTTGAGTCGTCTCACAGTTGAAGGATGGACAGAAACACCTGTGGAATTTTTCAGTTCTGAAGCAAGAGTGGAGCTTGATTTTCTCCTTTTTCTCAAAGATGACACTGACACAGATGTTCAGCTGCGTACACGGAGCTTGCACAATCTCCAAAGAAAGCCTGAGGTCACTGTGCCAAATGCCAAGTGTCCCCATAAAAGCCACCTAGCATTAGGCTACTGAGCAGTGGAACTGTGTTCTCTGGAGTGATGGAGCTCCATCCAATACCTCTGGGATGAGTTGGAATGGAGTTTGTGATCCAGAACTACTCATCTAACATCTGACCTCACTAATGCTCCTATAGCTGAATGCAATCAAATCCTCACAGTCATGTTCCAATATCTAATGCAAAGCTGTTAGTGCAGCAAAATAGGGACAGTTGTTAATATCTTTAATAACAGCTCCTTGTTAATATCCTTTTCAGAAGAAACTTCAGATTAGCAGGTTTGATTTCTAAAACGATTAGGTAACAGATATGCATATCTTTATAAACAGAATTGTGTTTAAGTTTTAAACTGGACAACCAGTTTTTAGCAAGATTTACCAAACCTTTAAATCAGGACTGCAAGCCTTTCCTTACATGGAAGTATTTGCGTAATAAGAGCAGAAACTCTGAGGTGAAGGACAGAGGAGACTTTGAGGAGACACTGTTGCATGCAACTGCCTACAAGAGCCCCAGCAGCACCTCTCCATCTGCCGCACAAAGTAAGAGCGAGCGAGCTTAACAGTTGACGTAAACCGGATTAAAAAGGAAAAATGCTTTGATCAGTGACAAGGTCTTTCGTGTCTCCACAAGCATCATTTCCTCATTTGTATACCACGGGGACAAGTTATTTATGTGCGTGGCTGAGTAAATGCGAGAGTCACAAATTGATGCTCTGATTGCTATGGTGAACAGACAGAAGACAGATGCCAATCACATGATCCTTATTATCACTGTCTTGTGGGAAAGAACGTACTGAACAGATGAACTTCACCATAATGATGTTGCCCATTAGCTCCTCAACACGCTTCCTAAACGTGCAGGGTGACAACATCTCACTACCTGGCATGCATGCCAACATCTTTTTTCCTTTTTCAGGTGAAAAAAATAGCAAACTACTTTTACTATTTTACCGCTATTTTTTTATTACAGTAATGTACCTTAGATCCATTTTCTGTAAAATGATTGTCACTGTTTTTCGACCGAGTGTTAACAGCAAAGGCTTGAACTTCAACCAACGTGTTGTCATATCAAAACAGATGTTGTTGTTTCAAAAGAATGCTGTAATATCACTTTCATTATGTGGTATCTTTTTCATGTACAGATCTCCTGACATCAAAACACAAACATTTTGTAAAAAGTTGTAATGCGGTGGCCAATATGACATTATACACCAATCAGGCATAACATTATGACCACCTCCTTGTTTCTACGCTCACTGTCCATTTTATCAGCTCCACTTACTATATAGGTGCACTTTGTAGTTCTACAATTACAGACTGTGGTCCATCTATTTCTCTGCATACTTTGTTAGCCCCCTTGTACCCTGTTCTTCAGTGGTCAGGACCCCCATGGACCCTCACAGAGCAGGTACTATTTGGGTGGTGGATCATTCTCAGCACTGCAGTAACACTGACGTGGTGGTGGTGTGTTAGTGTGTGTTGCGCTGGTCTGAGTGGATCAGACACAGCAGTGCAGCTATGAATCTGATATGGTGTGCCCCAGGGATCAGTTCTCATACCCCTTTTGTTCAATCTTTGCACCCTTTAGGTCAATTCTGTGACAGCAACATTGATTACCAAAGTTATGCACATGATGCACAGGTGCCAGATGATTAAACTCACTGTCAGTGAATGGAACTAAATAATTGGATAAGGCAAAAAATTTACTTTAATTAAATAAGGACAAATCTGAGATCACTGTGTTCTGCAGCAAAGAGAAGAGACTTAATAACCTTGATTCCAGGGTTCTAAAACCAAAGGCCAAGTCTGAAATCTTGGTGTTCTAACAGACTCAGATCTCACTTTCACTAGCCATTCCAAAGTAATCAGCAGAACAGCAGTCTAAGATCTTAAAAATATAGCAAGAGTCAAGAGTCCCAACAAGATCTAGAGAAATTCATCCATGCTTTCATCTCTAGCAGGGTGGACTACTGTAATGGTCCAATAACATTTCCACCTTCGTCTTTAATTTCCTGTTAATTTTTTTTATTCTGTTTTTATGTACTTCTGTTTAATTGTTTGTCTTTTAGTCTATGTCTCCTTTTACTTTTTATTTGTGTTGTCTTTTACTCTTAAGCACATTGACTTTACTTTTTTACTTTCAACATTCTTTTTGCTTTTATTAATATAAGGCACACTGAATGAAATGTGCTATTTTAAATAGATGCAATGTGATTTCTTCATGATTCAAAATTCTTTATACTCAAAATGTAGCACTAGAAGATTCACATAAATTATCAATATTGAATTACATGGAAAAACATATTGTGATCAAATTTGGCCATTCTGCCTAAGCCACCAGGCACCCGCTCTCTAATAATCAAAGATGAAGTTTATAGAGTGATAAAGCCATTATCACTCCTCTGTTTTCACCCCTCTCTAACCTCCCCTAATAGGAAAACCTGACTGAACGCTGTCAGTTCCAATTCAATCAGCAGCACAGTGCTGCCGCTGCCTCTCTGACTGTGCCAGCACTTGGTCAAGGCCCATTAAATCATCACCTACACTAAGCACTGTGTTTACAACACCCAGCAGCTGCTGCCCGTCTCTCGGACCAGAGTGGGATTGGTCACGGAGAGGACAGCAAGACTGATGGGATGACTCAAAGGGCACACAGAGGGAAATGTGAGAAAAACAGGATAAGCAACTGTGAGTGAGATTTAGAGAAAGCGAGAGAGAGAGAAAGAGAGGGAGAGAGCTGAACTTTTTTTTTTGGGGGGGGGGCTGTTTTGCCTTACACTGCCCTGTATACACCCTTCTATTAATTAATTACAAAATATGTGTTATAGCCCAAAATGTCATTTTAAAACTACCATAAAACAACATCCCTGGCATCAAGCAGCACATATTACACTACGTGTAATAGCTTTCTGTGAGGAAGCTTTCAGAGGCACAGCACACAATTACTGTTAAGCTTCTCTAGAACGGAGCATTTCACATCAAACTGCTCTAACTGGCGTTGTTCCCACATTTGTTGTGTATTTTTATAGGTCCACTTATAATATCTGTGAGTTTCTTTATATCTAAAAAAGTCATAATCTACTTTTACCTCTCTTTATCTCAGCTAGTTCTTGTTGCTGCACCTTTAAGACTGAAATACAACCCTGTTTCCAAAAAGGTCGGGTTGTTGTGGAAAATGTAAATAAAAACAGAATGCAGTGATGTGCAAATCATTTTAACCCTTAATTTAATTTAGAAATAGTAAAAAGACAACATATCAAATGTTGACACCGAGAAATTGTCTTTGTACTATTTAATTCAATTAAATATGGGGTTTAAATGATTTGCACATCTTTGCATTCTGTAGATTTTGCATGATGTTTCAACTTTTTTTTAGAAATGTGGTTGTACATAAATGACGTCTGTTCTTATTGGCTAGCATGAGGCTTGAGATGCAATCAGAAACGTGCTTTTATAAATTTTCCATGTATTCAGATGCCTCTGACTTTAAACCATAATGATGGCATAACAGAAGACCTTGACCAAAGAGCTTCACAGGACAAAAACCCAGGCTGCCGAGTATGTGCGTAGGCAGGCAGGAAAAGAACTCAGAGACGATATGTGTATATGAGCGCGAGGACGATAAATGTGATTCAGAGAAACTCTCCACACAGCTACCTTATGACCCCTCATGCGCTGGAAGTGGGCGATGGTGTCGCTGATGGTGTAGACCCTCACATGGCCCATGTGCAGCCGACCAGACGGGTACGGAAACATGGAGAGGACATAAAACTTCTTCTTCTGGGAGCTCTGAATGTCAAGAGAAAATAAACAGGAAAAAAAAAACTTTTGTATCGCACAGATATTTCAGTATTTTACTATTTTACAGTATTTCACTATTTTAAACTTAGCTCTCAACCGTGTAAAAGAAAAACAAACCTTTTCAGATCATTCACAGACCAAGCTGCATAAAAAAACCAAGCCCAAGAAAATGTCCCTGGTTCTTGTGAATAAAATGTGTAAGTAAAAAGAGTAACTGTGAGCAGCATCTCTTAAAACTATCGTAAAACAATGTCTCAGACATTGTCTCAGACATCAGGCAGTGTATTCACAACCTTTTAGTGTAATACCTTTCCACGAGAGAGCTTTTAGAGGCATTAAAAGGCTTCAGACGCCTGCTTCTTACGACCCCCCCTGTGAAAAATTCTGATCTGTTTGTCTAGCATGGAGCATTTCGCAGCAAACCACTCTAAAAGATTTTCTATCTTAACAAATGTCTTATGAAAAAATCAGTGGAAATCCCCTTTACATTATAATTCATGGAAATATGTAGGTATTTGTGTGTTAACACATAGTTACAAGCTGTATACAGGTATAATGATGCATAAAATTTATTATTTGATTGATACAATGCATTAATGTCTCATTTCAGTACATTTTTTTAATACAGCGAAAATAAAAAGAGGCTAAAACATTAATATGTTAACGTTTCCTATTTCATTACACCACTCAACACTATAAAAGTAAAATATCTGAAACAAAACATCGGTTTAACCCAAAATAAAGTTTCACAAGCTAACACATTAGCCAGAAGCTGATGTGCTAGTCATGATACAGTATGATACAACACAATATGAGATGCTGTGATACAATTCAATGTCATTTTTTGTATTGATACATCTCTAAAGTTTTAGCTTATTACTGTTTTTATGAATAGATGTATCTTCAGAATATGAGAATTTTTTATTATTAAGTCTCAGAGCTTATTTGACTTGTAGACAATGTAAAGGTGTAGACAATTCCAGAGTGTATTAAACTATGTGACACTTTAAACCTCTCAGGGTGTGGTCCTTACTCAATAACCATGGGCTCATGAAAGCAGCTGACTAAGGATCTGAAACTAAAGATAACAGAAAAAGTAAAAAAAAAGATTATAAAGGATATAATTAAACACTTCCTGCTTGCAATTTTCACTGTCTGAAATGTCAACAAGAAACAGAAGTTTAAGAGAACTGTTGATGTCATGACAAGGTCTGGAAGACCAAGATTAATCTCTGATCGAACTGCTTGTAGACTGGTCGAGTGTGCAAAGCAAAACCCTCACATCACTGCCAAGAACACATAGGAAGATATGTCTGGCTTCGAACAGTGATGGATCGGTCCATCGTGCAGTGCTGTTGCACAACCATCATCTACATGTGTCATCAGAAGGTAACCTTAACTGAGCGCTCATCACAAGTCAACATCTGAAATATGCAAACAACAATGTGATAAGCCAGAGGTGTTTCAGAAACAAGACCGAGAAAGTAACTCCTTGGTTACAATCATCAAAGATACAATGGGGTCCAAAAGTCTAAGACCAGTACTGAAAAAAAGCTTCTTTTTGCATTAGTTTCTAATTTAATAGAAAGATTTCATTGTACTTTCTATTATCAGGCCTTTTTGTACAAAGGCCTCATCATGGTCAGTGGCACAAATGTGCTTAAATTTGAATAGCGACCTAGAAATCATGTAGAATTTCCAATAATACATTTTTCAAGATTTTTAAATGTTATGTTGTTTATTTCTGGGTTTAAATGAAAAGAATCCCAGATGTTTAATGTGTTTGGAGGAAAAAAAAAAAACAACACACACACATCTTGACAACTGTTAAGCATAGGGGTGGATATATTATGCTTAGCAACCCCGTGGCACAGGAAATATTGGGTGGATAGAGGGAACTAAGGGTCCTTCTTAATGTCAACAAATCCATGTATTTATTTATATTTAGATTTTTTTCCAATGTCTTTGTAAGGGTACATGCAGTTGCCAGTGTTCTTTAAGTTCTTCTCCACTTCACCTCAGTCCATATTAAATGAGCTTGGGCCCAGATAAAGTGGCAGCATTCCTGGATCCTGTTTATATCTGGTATCTTCTTTACGTTTTAGAGTTTTAACTTGCATTTGTGGATGCAGCGACGAACTGTTTTCACAGACAGTGGGTTTCAGAAGTGTTCCTGAGCCCATGCAGTGATTTCCTCTACAGAATCATGTCCGTTTTTAATGCAGTGCTGCCTGAGGGTGAAAAGATTACGGCCAGCATATACTGGTTTTTGGCCTTGTCCCTTGCATACAGAGATTTCTCCAGATTCTCTGAATCTTTTAATGATATTATGTACTGTAGATGATGAAAAGTAAAAGTTCTTTGCTATTTTACATTGAGAAACATTATTCTTGAATTGTTGCAATATTAGTCTTTCACAGAGCAACTTTACTTCTGAAAGACTCAGCCTCTCTGAGATGCTCTTTTATACCCAGTCATGTTACTGACCTGTTGCCAATTAACCGCCAGGTGTTTTAGCATTACATAACTTTGCCAGTCTTTTGTTGCCTCCATCCCAACTTTTTTGGAATGTGTTGTTGTCATCAAATTCAAAAAGGGCATATGTTTTTCAATAAACAATAAAATTTCCCAGTTTCAACATTGGATATGTTGTGTTTGTACTATTTTCAATTAAATATAAGGTTTAAATGATTTGCACATCATTGCATTTGTTTTTATTTACATTTTGCACAGCGTTCCAACTTTTTTGGAAATGGGGTTGTACTATGCATACTGTCAGTAGAACACTGACCAACTGCATGTCTCATTATAAAGAGAGCAAAATTAGCCCTGTTTAACTGGATTTAGTGCAACACACTATGTCAAATATTGGATAAAAAACATTGTATTCACATTTTTTGATAGTATTTTTTAAAAAGGTAGCACTACTGGCTCTTTTTTCACAGTTCCAATGGATCAGATATCTGAAAAAAAAAATATTGTGACACCATGTATCATGAAAATTTATATCATGAAAATATTGTGAAAAGTATCACAATATTATATTTTTGTCATATCGCCCACCTCTAGCTCACCCCTTATTATACTTATTGTTTTTCGTAATGGCACTACAGTTTTGCTGGTGCATTTCGTCTGATCCAACTTGCTTACAAACCTCAGAAACGCTAATTATCATGCTACATAATCGTATTGTGAAACTGCCTTTAGGTTTAATGCAGTAGTATTTTTTGCTATGTTGCCCACCCTCAACACGGTGTGGTGTTTCTTGACATGGCTATGAAGTTATAATCTAATACCATGGTATGCTCAGTGGAAACCTATTCCCACCACAAAGGATTCTGATGTCAGGGATATTTGCTCTTCAGTGGAATCATAAAGTGCCCTCATAAAGGTACAGCTGCTCTGTACAGCTGACCTGCGAGAGAGAGTCTGGCACAGTGACACGACCACTGCCATGCCTGCACACACACACACACTTTGGTTTCTGACGTTTAATGATTCATAAGGTCTTGAAGAAGGCCGCCGGTCCGGGAAGCATTAATCAGATCAGGTCAAGAGAGGCCTGAATTATTCACAGGCTGCCAAAGCGACAAGGCAACCGCTCTAGCACAAGCCTCCACAAAGCCTTGCCCTAAATTCACAGAGAAACACGGTAGGTGACACTCATCCAGCTGAGGTGAGATGTGGGCTGAAAGTCGGAATATAGAACTTGACCTATCGACAGCTGTTCATTCAAAATGTGAAGGAAAAGCAACTTCGCTGTGTGGTAGCAAACATTTTTGAAAAATGAAACACGCTGCTTTTTCTCAATCCGAGTCAGACACAACAGGGGAGACTACCCGAAGCAAACAGAACTGTGCATGAAACTTCAGCCAGACCAGAGATTCATGTACAAGAGCAGAAATAAAAAGTTCTTTAATCATCTCAAGGGTCAGATTATTTTTAGACAGCGGAAGTCCCCTTAAGGATTCATTTAAAGACTGCCACCATGGAAGATCTATCTAGCATCCATATACCGAGGATAAAGATGGTGGTTCTTTTTGAAAAGAAGTGCAATAGAGGTGACAGTTTGTAATAAACAGTTTGTTTTCAACAATGACAACACATCTGGAAAAGCATTTAAATCCTCATTGGCCCTGTTTACATTTGGCTTTTCAAAAGAAATGCATCTCATTTGTAGATGTTGTCTATGCACACATTTAAAAGATGCACATGGAGAGCATTCAGATCTAACTGCCCTGATCCTGAGGTAGTAGAGCATGCACTGTGATCAGATCCGCGCATTTGTGCACAGGTCTAGCTCGGCTACCTTCGGCACATGCACTAGGGCACACCTAGGACACGGCTGTACGTAAAAGTTGTGAGCATGTAGCAGTGACGCTATAAAAGTTGCAAGTGTTGTAGCAGAAACTCATATGTTTTATAACTGAAATTAAAAAAAACACATTCAATGCTTCTATTAAACCAATTTATCATTGTAACTGAGAAAAAAAAACAGAAGCTTTGTGTTTTAATGCACTTTTTATGAAATGCACAGAGTTCATTTTCATTTCTGCTGGTTGCTCATGCATATAAGTACTGACTATTAATGTATATGTAATGTACTATACTATAAATGTACTATTAAATGTTCCCTTCAAGACCTCACAGCAGGCATTGCTCTACAGAGTTCATCCATTTTATTTTTGCATTACCAATGCAGCACTTTTCACATGTGAATCATGTGAAGATGGACATCAGCAACAAGAACTGCAAAAAACCAAGGTGGCACTGAGAAGACAAGAATGCAAAAGCTACTTACGGAGGATAACAGTTTGGGGTGGGCTGGTCTGCATCATTTAACTGCGTCATGAAAGGAAGTCCCACTCGGTTAATATTCGAGAACTCAGGCTTTCATCTTATGACATATCATGTCTGATATTTGAGCCTTCACGTTAGTGAGGCAGTGAACATCACATTTTATTTGTACAGTAAAGTTGGACCGTTAGCCATTGAGCTCTCATAAACAAAGTTAATCACTTACTGTAGATCCTGCAACAGGTGGCCAACACAAGTAGGAAGTAGTGTCTAGCTATGTTACAAACAACAGTGTAATAAACCTTCATAGCAAGCACTGTTAACACACTTAGAAAAGCTTAAATAAGCTAAGTGCTGAGAGTTTTGGCTTAGAGGGACTCGGAGCAGCGGGACAGCAGTCAAGCTAGGTGAGAAAGAGGAAGGCGAGTAGCTGATGTATACATATTGCTAACTTTGACCGGTTCTTCGGTAGATCTGACGTCACCTGCACCAAATTTAGTCCTGTCCAACTTAAATTGAACTAAAGAAAATGGCAGAAGTCATTTCAAACGTAACATAGTGATCAATGTTAATTCTAAGTGTTAGCAGAGCCATTGTAAAATCACTAGCATTCTTGAAAACTCAGAAATTGTCTTCATTGCTCACACACCTTTCAGCTGTTCTCCTGAATGTATGGCCTAGGTGGGAAAATCAGATTAGCATCTGATCTATAGCATCTTCTATTTAAATATATATCATAGTCACTAGACCTGTTTTCATTTACACTGTAGTCGTACTGTATGTCTCAATTTAAAAGACTGGTAGCAAGAGGAAGCCTCAGAACAGTGTCTGTGTAGCAGTTTAGACACTGGATCAGGCAACAGAAAACAAAACCAGAAAGCAGTCTTTTTAAGGGCCAGTGGGGCAGATCCATCCATACAGTCTTTTACCTAGCCAAAGGGTTCCATGGAGTCGAGCACGCTGCTCTTTCATACAGAGACTATTCTTTGGCCTCTTCAGCCTGGAAAATGCAGTGAAAACAGGAAGCAGAAAGCACTGGGGCCTGTCTGTGCAATGTGTAGTAGTCACTATTTACTAATTAGAATGAAACCCAACCAAAATTTGTTTTTGTTGTCACATATTAGCCATTACTCATACAGTCAATGCACACTGATTCTTACAGCTCGAATGAATGTTTTCATATTTTCACCTTGGATCCAGACAGCTTATTTAGTGATATTACAGATATTTCAATTCTCTGTTCAGGTGGGTCAAGTTTATTACTAAATAGTTAGTACAAAGGTGTCAACATTAACCTTTCAGTTACAGATTAAGTTGTAAAATTGAAAGTTTTGCTACATCTGTTGTAAACATGCCTACTTGCCTCCTACAGTGGTGCCATAGTAGTTTGTAAAGTGAGATTTTCAGGTTTAAAGATAAGAACACCCCTCCTCTGGTGATGTATTTTGAAGGTGGGAGGAACATTTAAAGACTGCAAAGGCTTTGGGGCTTTTCTGAAATGTCTATTTTAAATGTTATTTCTTTCCCACTGGCTAATGTAGGAGGGAGTCAGATAGCTAACATTACTGCTAGGACGTCAACTATCTTGTCTGTACTTATTATTCTCTAAATTAATGGCTACGCAGTCAGGATTTCTTTATTACCGTGGGGGGCACTCAAAATGGCTGTATGATGTTTTTGTGTATGGATGCTGGGTATTTTACTGAGAGACTAATGAAAACACTAAAAGGATACAAAATTGTGAATTCTTTCAAACCAATGAGGCTAAGAAATACAATGATGTGCTACAGAATATTACAAAACATGAAAAATACCATTTTAAATGCTAGTTTTAGGCCCGAATGACAGTTACAGTGAGCTAGTCAGACAACTATGCCAGGTCAAAGTATATAAATAAAATCTTAAGAGGAAAAAACCTTTGACATGTGACACTGAAGTCAATTCCAATTTCCATTGAGTAGACAAATTGAAACTGAAACTGGAATTCAAACAATTTCTAAACAGGATCCAAACAGATCTTCACAGAAACCACTTAAAGTGCCATTCTCATATTACGGCATTAATCAGTCATTAAAGGTTAAACTGGTCTGAAATTCTCTGCAACTATATTCTAGCGACTTCTAGAAACAATGTCCACAAGTATCCAGACACCTTTCTAGTGAATCTGACTATGCTAATATAAATGCACACATAAAGTTTGTATAATCTCTACAGAAAAGCACCACTAATAGAACGAGATGCTCTGGAGCCTAAGATTACCATGCCTAGTGCCAAGTGTCCCCCTCCAACAAGTATAAAGCCCCTCCAACACTGGGTGTGGAGCAATGGAACTGTGTTCTGTGGAGTGATGGCGCTCTATCCATGCCCAATGCGCTCTATCCATGCCCTGACCTCACTAATGTTCTTGTGGCTAATACAATCAAACCCTCACAGCAATGTTCCAAGCATTCTCAGAAGAGTAGAGGCTGTTACTGCAGTAAACGGGGGATCAACTCCCCATTAATACTGTTAATTGGGTGAAAAGGTGTCCATAAACGTGGATATATAGTTTAACTTGCACAGAGAACTAATGCTACCACTTTTACAAAGCTCTTTAGTTTGACTTGAACTGAGTCATATTCATCAAAATTCATCAAAAAAACTGAACATAAAAAAGGGTCTTTGACAGAGGATGTATATTTAACTCGGCCCTTACAACAAGAGTGGGGAACTCCAGTCCTGAAGGGTCAGATTCCTACATAGTTTGGTGATTCTTCCTTTCTTGCTCAAGCACACCTGATTCAACTCATCAGTTATTTACCAGGTTTGGTTGGTGTGTAAGAGCAGGGAAATCACCTAACAGTGCTGGCCACTGGCCCTCAGTTCTGCACCCCTGCCTTAGAGGCTCTAGATTTGTTTAGCAAATTATATATGAATGGAGTTATCCAGCCTAGATATCTAGTTTGTTTGGTCTATTAATTCACAACCTCAACCATCTTCGACCAAGTCTAATTTAACACCTCACCGTCACAATGACTCACCTGCTCCTTCATTTCCTTCTCCCATTGCTGCTGGATGCGTGGATGCCACCACTGCTCCACCCGGCGCCTGGTCTCTGCCCTGTAGTCTCGCTCCCACACTCCAGTCTCGCTGAACAGGGTCCGGACACTGGTCCTGAGGGGACAAAGAGCTGGGGCAATTGGAAAACCAAGGTGTCCACCCTGCCTCACCAGACCCAGAGAGCACACCGCAAGCCTGCACATCGTCATCTGCATCAGACCCCTTGGAGACAAAAAAATAAACTATTAAGTCACATATGGTTAGAGAAGAAGCACCAGAAGAAGAAGCATGGTTAGATAAGAGCAGCTCTAACAGGTAACTGTTTCATAAGCTCCATAAACACAGTGCAATACAACCTCATACAACATACATGTTGTATACTCATCATAGAAAAGCACTGCTAATAGAATGTCGGCGTCGGCTAGAGGGGTAAAAAGCCCCCCAGTGTTGGGCTGTGGAGCAGTGGAACTGTGTTCTCTGGAGGGATGAAGCTCCAACCATGCCTAATGCCAAGCCCCCCGACATCAGTCCCTGACCTCATTAATGCTCTTGTAGCTGAAAGCAATCACAGCAATGTTCAAATATCTAGTGTAATAAACTATTAGTTAGATAAGAAGTACCACAGAGCAGTTTATTACACTTACACTTGGGGGTCGGACTGACTTATCAGTGTACAGTACTGCACAGTCAGAAGTTTAAAATGGGCATTCCAACCTAACTACTATTTAATAAGTTATTTGTCATATTAAGTTATATTATGCAGCGACGCATGGCATCCCTCAACCTCATCACTTTAATAGAATTCATATTGTTGTGTTCTTTTCATTTTTTGTCTATTAATGTTCTCTTACCACAATATACGCAAATACGTCCTTTTTCAGCTTCCTAACAGCAACGTTAGCTATCTGGTCTCCTTCTGAATAAACCAGCTAGCCAAAACATTTCAAACAGTCCACCCTCAACAATGTTCCCCAAAACCCTTGTAGTTTTTCAAACTTTCTCCCACCTTCAAGATACATCATCAGAAGGGGGTCTTCTTAGTCTTTAAACCAGAAAATTCAGCTCTACAGATGTGGTGCTGCTGTAGGAGTTAAGTTTTAAACAGATGTAGTAACAGAGTTTTCGACCTTAAACCTGTTAAACGAAAGCTGACGATTTGACTTCTGTATAATGACAACGTACGTAACAGAAGCTTTTACAGAAAAACTCTAACATGATTTAGAAATCCTTGCAGAAACACAAATTGGTACAAATGGACTATGCTTTATAAAAGGTGTGCTATTTTAAAAGATTTGTTTGACTGCTGAAAGAGAACCATGTTTCACTAGTTTCCACCGTAATTTTCATGAAAGCTTCCTCTTCAAGGTTAGCCCACATGCTCATCGCAGCACATTGAACAGGAAACCAATGTGACCTCAGTATCTGAAAACACATTATGCTTACCGGACTATGAAACAGGTCCACAGGTTTACATCTACAGTGCTGTACTGCATAGACTGATGCTTCATAATGGATGCCAAAGTATGTATGGATGAGTTGTATTGCCGTGAGAATTGGATTACACACAGACATCAGAGCATTAGTGAGGTCAGGTACTGATGCTGGATGATCAATTCTGGATCACAAACTCCAATCCAACTCATCCCAAAGGTATTGGATGGAGCCCCATCACTCCTGAGAACACAGCTCCACTGCTCCACAGCACAATGCTGGAGGCTTTATACCCCTCAGGTTGGCACTCGGCTTTGAGAATGGTAATCTTATGGCTCGTATGTGGCTGCTCCAGAGCATCCCATTCTACTGGCAATGCTATAAAAATTGGTCATTTCTATGGAGATATGAAAAAAGTTTGAATACCCCCAATCAAGTGAAAATAAGTTAACACATCCTAGACAGAGAACACATTAAAATACTTTAATTTAATTACATTTAAATACTAATTTTAGTACAATAGTGTACAATTTTGTTTATTTGCTGAACTTAATAAACTGAAAAAGTGTCATGTGCAAAAATTATGGCACATTTTATATTTTAATGTTTTCCTATATGTTAAACACAGCAGAAATGTGTTCTTTGTAGAGGCTGCATTAACTTTCTAAGTGAAAATCAACAAAACATGTCATTGACCAGGGGTGCCCAAACTTTCAGTCAAAAGGATCCTTTAAATACAGGTGTGAAATGTAACCATGGTTTTGCTTCAACTATAATCCTTTGTGAATGTGTCTGACCAGAAGGTAACTCAAGAGAAATTCCGGCACATGAAACCACTACATCTCGTTCATGCTGGAATTAGTTAGTTTATGCATCAGCTTTATGGTGTATCATCCAAAAAACAGCCTGTGCTTGTGAGAAGGGCCAGCTATAGCTTTTTTGCTTACTGTAAAAGTTCTATGCACTTGCACATGTTGTTTAAAACAGCCAGCAATGTACACAGTAAAACATACAGTATACTATTCCTTTAGCTGTGTCTGTTTACGAGGGTGTAAACTGAATGCAGGGTGAGCTTTGAGTGAGATGAACAGTGTTTAGCTTGCAGGATAGCGTTTAATTACAAACAAATCAATTTTGCTTGCCAGCTTACTAACATCCCAGCAACAGTATTTTCTCCATCACCCTGTGCACGCAGACTCCTTTTCGATGATGTGACAAAGTGTCCTTAGAAGACCGTCCACTTTTGCATCATGTAATACAAACGAGGAACCAGGACAGTGCTGCCAGGGACCCACCTTCCTCGGCTGCAGCATAGCTCTTGGAACACACTGCCATTAAAGTTTGCTCATGTCTTGTTTGCCCTGGGTGCTTTTGTTTTTCCCTGCTGTGTCTTTCGATCATCTTTATAGATTCCCCTGTGCTCTTAGTGTCTTCATGTTTTTTTAAAATGCTTGGAAATGGACTATACCAGTATACATCAGGGTTCGGGAATGGAGGGCCTGAATCCTGCACTGTTGGGTTATTTTCCTGCTAAAACATACAAGATTCAACTCAGTGACAAATTACAAGGTTTAGTTTTTGTGTCAGACTAGAGAAATCACCAAAACTGTGCTGGACTCCACGCCCTGGCTTACATGATTAAAGCAACAGAAAATAGGTGGAGACAGGGCTACCATACTATACATCATCTACCATGACAAAATAAAACCTACTAAACCAACAGCCTCAAAACCCAGGCCCATCACTGTGGTTACTATGGCAACATGAGATACTGTAAGGTGATTATTTTATCACCCTGGAAACTAGAAGTTAACAATAAATAAATAAATATATACAAAACAGGTTTTCACACATGGGCATTGAAAATGAAATAGAAATAAATTCTTTCACTTTGGTCATATAAAAACGTTAATGGTGCACTCATCTATAAAGTATTTGGTCACCTGCTGGGCTTTGCATGTGAGAGCAGTTGACCCCTGTATAACCCTGTAGACAAAGACCTCTTCACCTTCACTATGTGCCCAAAAGCATCCAGACAGCCCTTCTATTTAGTGAATTCAGCTACTTTAAGGTGCACCCATTGCACAGAAAAGCACTGCTAATAGATTGGGATGCTCTGGAGCAGCCACACTTAAGCCTAAGTTCATCATGTCCAAAGCCAAGCATTGACTAGAAAAGTATAAAGCTCCCCAGCACTGAGGAGCTGTGTTCTCTGGATGGATGGAGCTCCATCTAGTACCTTTGGGATTTTGTGATCCAGAACAGATCACCCAACATCACTACCTTACCTCATTAATGCTCTTGATAACAACAACAACAACAACTATAATAATAATAATAATAATAATAAAATTCTTTATTTATATAGCAACTTTCATACTGTGGCAGCTCAAAATGCTTTACAGAGAGGTGATAAAGTTTAACAGTAATACAAGAAATTATGAGTATTAATTTAAAATCAAATAATAAAACAGCAAATATCAAAATAAAAAGATAAATACCAAGAGACATAGGCTTTTATTTAAACACTAAGTTAAAGAAATGTTTTTAGATGTTTAGATGATGTGAACTGAGCTTGACTGTCTAATAAAAGATGGAATTTAGAAGCAGAATAACTGAAAGAGTCTCTCCATGTTTTCTGTATTTTACAGAAGGTATTTACAGAAGGTCAGTATGTGCAGATCTAAGATCACATGCTGGAACATAAACAGACAGACGTATGGGTCTGTGGGGATGTAAGTGGTGCTTCAAGGTCATTTAGAACCTTAATAACTAGCAGCAGAACTTTAACGTCTGTCCTGAAAGATACAGGTAGCCAGTGCAGCTCTTTTAAAACGGGAGTGATATGATCTCTCTGTTTTGTTTTTGTTAGGATGCACGCTGCCGCATTTTGTACGAGTTGTAGAGGATGTATTAGGAAGTCCAGTAAGAAGAGCATTACAGTAATCATCTCTGCTTGTAACAAATGCATAAACAAGTTTCTCTGCATCGCTCTGAGATAAAAAAGGCCAAACTTCTGCGATATTTCTCAAATGCTAGAAAGCTACTTTAGTGATGGCATTTACATGCAGGACAAAGCAGAGCTCAGAGTCTAAGATCATGCCTAGGTTTGGTAAATGAAGCTAAAGAACCAAGCTTCTCATAAAGCAGCATTCTCTAAGTTTTAATATCAAGAATCACTATTTCAGTTTTTTCTTGATTTAGTTATAGAAAATTTTGTGACTACCACTGAGAAATATCTGACACATAGCTGGTAAGCCTGTCAATATATAATAATATAATTGTGTGTTGTCAGCATAGCTATGAAAATTAAAATTATGTTTCCTGACGACATCACCTAGAGGTAACGTGCAAAGACAAAAGCAAAGGCCCAAGAACTGAACCTTTTGGGACTCCACAAGAAATGTACATTTTTTTGTTGAATGATTTTCAGTATCAAAGGTTGCACTAAGATCCAATACGACCAGAATAGAAAGATTTTGTGCATCAACGTTGAGCCTAGGGTCTTCCACAAGACAATCCAATTCTGTCTCTTGTGACTGAATGCAATCAAATCCTCACAGCAATGTTCCATCTAATGTAAAGTGTTCTTAGATGAGTAGAAACTGTTACTGCAGCAAAGCAGAAACAAACTCCTTATTAATACCTTCCATTTCAGTAGAAATGCTGACTTAGCCAATGTCTACAAACTTTAAGACATTTAGCACAGATGCCTATAACCAAAAACCCCACACAGTCTACTGGCCCTGATAAACCACAGAACCAAAAACAAGGAGTGCTAAAGGCTTTCTGTAGGAAACAGCAAAAGTGGTTTGTGGCATCATTTCTCAACCAAACGCCCACATGCTTCATGAGTCTCAGCACCGTCTCGGCTCAGTGGTACACTCAAGGTTGCCGGTTTGTGTAACATGGTAAGGGGGCAGGAAGACAGACAGAAAGAAATATATACTGTGCATTAAGGGTGGGTGGATTGATGCTGAAGCATCAGTATTTCAGACACTGATGCTTCCTTTGGAGAATAAATCCTTGCTTAAAAATATCGATACTAGGTGGTTTTAGGCAGTAATCTGAATCTCTTTCCTTTCGTGAAACTGTATATTTGATGCAGAAAAAGTGAAAAGAAAAAAAATGATTGTAACAAATAAATGTGTGGGACCTTTGCCCTCTCCTTCTGTTCCTCACATACATAAGACAGTGAAGGCTCTATAATAGTCCTCTGAAGTCATGCTGTCATTTTGTAGTCAATGTCAGGTCCATATTAGGAACTCAGGGTCTAAGCTGTTTTCTTTATGGGAGTCATAAATTACATTTTTGAAAATCGCCCCATCACACCCTGTGGTAAACAAAAGTGTTCCAATTAGTGGTGGGCAGTATGATGATATTTTATCATTATCATGATAAATTACACCACAATTCACTGAGCATATCATGGATGCTGTCAGTACTTAAAGAACACTGATCAATTGTATGTTTCATTAAACAGTGGAAATAATTTGTCATGCTTAATTGGATATGATTCATATTAATAATGTTTGATGTACTCATCAGTTTTAACAATGTGCCAGTACTGTTGCATTGTGTCAGTTGCAACTTATCAAGGCTAAGAAAAATGACATTTCATGATGCCTACTGTGACAATGTCTTCACATAACGTGATGTTATATTTTTGCCATCCCACCCACCCCTGTTCCAAATACTGCTACATTTTATTGTATGTACAATTTGGCCTCCAAATGTCACTGGATCCTCTGAATAAAGACGTCATTAAAAAGTCAAACTATGAATATTACTACTATTAATATCACAGCAGTGTTGGCGAGCTTTACTATGGAAGCTCACACTGCTGTGCTTTACACTGACATTGTAAGACTGGCAACCTCGCTAATCATCAAGCTTTGCAAAATGTGGTAGTTATGTTGCTTTGGCCGTCGCAGCTTACACTGTGAGAGCTGGAGTTGTTAAAGAATAAAGTATAGCATTAGACTTACGTTCATGCGACATCATTTCAATGCGCAGGTTTGTAGCAATATTTTAGTTTGACTACTTCACAACCTCATAATTCAGAGGATTCAGTAACACACAGGAAAAATATGTACAGTACAAAACATACTGGGTTTAGAACATTTTTGTTTGCCACAACATGTGACAGATTATTCTGTACATTTTTCCCCGCTTAGACCTGGAGTTCCTTATATGAGCATGACATTGACTACAGAATGACATACTACTTCAGAGGTCTACGATAGGTCTCACTTCATTAAATGGTCACCACATGTGGAAGTTTACTAATGCAAAGACTTATGGCATTATATGGTACTACTAACAAATTAAAAAAGAAAATAAATAGTGTAGCACACGATCCCAGACAGGAGACAGTTTGGGGCCATTTCTGGCTTTCCAATGTGAATGCTGGATAACTACCAGGCAAATGTGAGGCATGCAGACCAGAATAGGGCTAGATGCCAGACAGCTTCATATGGTTTTGTCTTGTGTCTATAATGGCGGGCCAATTCTAGTCTGAATGTTGTGGACCAACAATGTAGCTGGATCAGATTTGGGCCCCTCTATTAATTCTACTCACTTTACAGTGTGTGGATGAGATGGGGTCAGCACAAATTAAAGTGTAGCACATAACCTCATACAGAGAGAGAGAGAGAGGGGGAGAGAGAGAGAGAGAGAGAGAGAGAGAGAGAGAGAGAGAGAGAGAGAGAGAGAGAGAGAGAGAGAGACATTGCTGTGTTGTTGCTATGGTTACAGGGCTGGAAAATGGCTATAAATCTCACCACCGACGTTTCTGATGTGTCTCCAAAATTAGTTTACAACATCGCGGCTATTTAGTCACATTAAACATAACTTCTGTACATTAGTGACATCTAATCACGGCTGTACTCTCAGACATGCAGCGCTGCGGTTAGCGTTAGCAGGCTAGCTAAGCTAGCTGTCTAAGAGGACACGGCGAGGTTTGACAGCTACAGTCACGATACAAGCTGAGAGAACTCGGACAGACAGCGACCTGCACAGCTGTGCTTTACAAGAGCTAATCTGAGACTTTAAAACTGAAATCAAAGAGGTGAGAAGAGAGTAAACTGAGAACTTAACACTGAAGATTACAGACCAGAGCATCTCTCTCTCTCTCTCTCTCTCTCTCTCTCTCTCTCTCTCTCTCTCTGCACAACAACAACTCAAACACAAACACACAGAGCAGCTACTCACTGAGCCGGAGGATTAAACGAGCTGCCCGGCTGGACTGGGACTGAGAGCTGCCCTGAGTCATGTAGGAGACATTAACCCGGTTTAAACTCAGCTCTTCATCTGTCTGAGTCCGAGTCCGAGTCCGAGTCCGAGTGTGCTTCAGCAGGACTCACACCGCTCACAGGGCGCCGCCATATTGTTCAAAACAAACTTTATTAGATCCGCTACAGACACAAACTCAGAGCGCTGCTCCACTGCAGCCACAGCAACGCTGTTTCTCTCACTCTGTAAAATAATGCGACGAGTCTTTTCAAGTATTTTAAAATATTAGATATTGAAAATATTAAAAAATTACATATATAAGGATTCTTATTTATATATATTTTTATATATAAATAAATATATGTAAGAATATGTTAAATATTTTAAATATATATATTTCTGGCAGCAGTACCTCAAATTCTAACTAAAATTTGACTTTTTATGACTTATTTTCTTGAACTTATGGCTTATTATGTCAAAATAGTTTTTTTTTTTCTCAAAATCTTGACATTAAAATAATCACTGGGGCAGACAGCAAATATTAACATGAAAGCAATTTTTTAAGGATGTTTCAAAAGATTCTATTTAGAAATCCCAGCTGAGCATGTTTTTTAAATCCCAAAAAATGGAAACGTCCTGGAAAAAGAGAACATATGGTCACCCTGCAAAACGAAATGGAATACCTCAACATAACTCATACATTGAAGTTTCAAGATAATAAGTCAATAAGTCAATATTGTAAGAAAATAAGCCCTTAAATTAATTTTGACACAGTAAATGTGGAAAATCTCCAAAAAAGAAGTAATAATTTTAAGAAAATAAGTCACTATTTCAACATATTAACTTAAAATGTTGAGAAAATAAGACATACTAAGTCAAAATATCGAGACTGGTCATATTTTCAGATTAAAAAGTCAAATGTTTGACTTACTGCCAGAAACAGAACAGACAAGGTTTCAACCCATATGAAAAATAAATGCAAAGTGTGTTTAAAATTGTTTGAAATACATTTTGGAATGAAAAAAAAATGTGTTTGAAATGTATCTCACATCTAAATTTTATTTTTTTTTCCCCAATATGGAAAAGCATGTTAAAAGAAATGAATAAACCAACACATAGACTGAGCACAAACTAGCTACTTTCAACTAAACTGTGGAAATGCAGTATAAAATATGACTCTTTTTTCAGAGTATTTTTTGAATTTAACACAAGGTTTTCTAAGGACATTGAAGAAAAATGTACACCAGTCAACAGTATTAGTAAACATGTAGGCTATTTGCATCTGCATATATAATCATATATGTCTTGCTTATATTTTATGCAGCTACTGAAATTCCCCTCGAGTAAATATGTTAATGTATGAACTGTGAAATGCACTGTTATGTGAAAGAAATGCAGGTTATTGTTTCTACCTATAGACATCATTGCTAATGCCTGGACTTCAGGCTGGGCCAAAATATTCTGTTTTATTTGCAGTAGTGAAGCATGAACTGTGGGTTCAGCTCTCAATAAAATACTTCAGCATTAACTTTATATCAGTTTATTTCTGTTCAGTGCAGTAGGCTTTGTGCCAGGCATGAAAATCCGGCATTGGACGTTTCTGCTTGTTACCTTAGCAACACTTTTATCTCTCCAACACCAGATTGTTTTCAGTTGAAGGATTTAGATTTGTGAAGCTGCACAGAGGCAAACACATAAGACCAAATGCAGCTTCCTCAAACACACAGCGGGGAGCCTGATATCCTCCCAGAAATTCAAAACATGTGCTTTAGAAATCAAAATATTAAAGGGAAGGCAAGATTTTATAAAGTGTGTATTACATCTAACTTAATACACTGAGGACATCAGAGAGATCTTGAGTAGACTATGGGCCTGAAAACTTTGAAGCTCATGTTGGTGTAATGTTCCTTGCAGGCATGATGTACAGATCATGTGTTTGCGATCCTGTGACTGAGCTCAGTGGGATAGCTCTATTTGACTGTTTTTTTTATGTGAATCAAAGCTCTCCATCTCACCCGACACAGTCAAATGGGAGGAAAAAAGAACAGAGGAGGAAAGATAGAATCAGAGGACACAGACAGAATCAGAGAGCTCTGACGTTAGTCTGCTGAACCTGCGGCACAGCTCCACCATCATACATCACAGTGAAACGAGCACAGACACCCGAGGCGCCGCAGGAGATAGCACCTAGAGGAAAAGGAGGAAGCAGTCAAGTCTCTGACAAAATTATAGCACCCCAACCCCCATATGCGAGCACAGAATCCTCATTATTACGAGACCCAGCAGACACTAACTTAATCACCGTCTGCTAAATTTATTAAGTCAATTTAGATAACAGTTCACTCTGACAGTTATTGTGTTAAACAGGAACTTGAACATATTGCATGTGCCACGGTGTGATTTTGTAAGGTAGCCTATGTCTGATTAAACATAATGTTAAAGACACAGCTTTTGATATTTGCTGAGAATAACAAACTTGACTGTAAGTTGATCCAGTGATGTGGACTAGTCTCAAGCAGTGGGTGACTAGCTGAACAGTGAGCCAGACTAGCCTAGCTAGCATATAGCACCACCACATAATTTGCCTACTTTTATGCCATTAATGTTATGTTCATAGTGTAATTTCACTTTAAATATAATTCTAAATGTTTTTTTATTTAGTATGACTCAAATGTTAAGGAATCCTACTTAATTTTTTATTGTTATTCATTTAGCCACAACCTACAGCCATTCAAAATAGCTTGCTAGCATTACCTCACATAGAGCATTTTCTAGAACGCAGAACTACACCATAGCAACCAGCTTAGTAATGGCAAAACTCTTACTTATGAATACAGTAGCATTCTTGGTTATTCATAGTACCTGTGGAAGACATATACTGGGGCATTCCAGCCTAATACCGCATTATTCTGTAGCCCAGCTTTGTATCTCTCAGCCTCATTGGTTCAACAGGAGTCACAATTTTTTATGTTTATCTGTAATTTTCATGTGTTCATCAAATACATCATACGACCATTGGGAATCCCTGTAGTATCAATCAATCCTGACTGCTAGCCTAGCCAGTGAAAGGCTAATAAATACAGTCAAGCTAGCAGAGTGCATCTTACCTCTTTCTTTAAAAAAAGAAAACAGTGATTCTGTCTTTATAGAAAATAGACACCCTTTTACCCTTTCAGCCAGAAAAAAGGACCAAAGCTGAGACAACCAGGATGCTTGCTAACTTTAGCTTTTAGCTTGTTGTCCTTCATATCTGACAAGTCATTCCTGTTGTTAATCCATTCTTTCCACTGTAATGATGATTTGAAGACAGTTTCTACAGTTATATGGCTGCAATTAGATATTCAGTTTCCTAGAAGTGCGCTAGGTAAGTAAGTATGCTTTCCCTCTGCATTTGCCATAAAAAAAAACAGCCCACTCCAAAAAATCCACCCTAAAGCAATTCTTCAATAGTTCCTGCTATCTTCAATTTAAACTATCAGAAAGGGGTCTTCCTAGTCACACTAGAGGCTGCAGCACCACTGTAGAAAGAGAGTTTGCATGTTTATAGCAATGGTTTAGTTTTCAGTTTAGTTTTGATTCTACAATATTCAATAACAATGGCCTATGTATTTCAGTCCAATAGCAGCTCTACTGGTTTCAAGAAAAATGAAAACTTTTGTCCATTTGTGTAGTTCTCAGCCAGTTAGGCCCATATTTATTCATTTTTAAGTCTTTAAAATGTATATTTTACTCTTTCCAGAAAGAGAAATACATTTCTATACCTCACTATTGGGAAATGAGGGTTGAAAAATTGCTCTTAAGCATTGTTGATTATGAAGGATTACTCTAAGTGGATTGAAGAATATTTGCTAAGTCGCCAGTGAATCTTTAATCCAGGCATTGATCTTTACAGATGTGGTTTCACCTTTTGGGCTATAAATGGAAAAATGCTACACAGTGTGCTTGAACAAAGTGAGAATAGTGGCTAATCAATAATTTAAAGGAGGTCAGGTCGGTCTGTGCCTGATTCAAATGTAAGGAAGCTGCTTCTGACTGTATTGCACTTTATTTCATACAGAGTTGGGCCAAAAACTAAAAGTAGTAATGGCTGAATATTTAATACACTGTCCTAAATGTATACAGTAACATATTCTGTTACAATACAAAAAAGTAGCACATTTAGAATACATTTAGAACCCCATTTCCAAAAAAAGTTGGGACGCTGTGCAAAATGTAAAATAAAAACAAAATTCAATGATGTGCAAATCATTTAAACCTTATATTTCATTGGAAATACTACAAAGACCAACATATCAAATGTTGAAACTGAGAAATTTTATTGTTTTTTGAAAAATATATGCCCATTTTGAATTTGATGCCAACAACACGTTCCAAAAAAGTCTTCTTTTAACAACACTCTGTAAGCGTTTGGGACCTGAGGAGACCGACAGCTGTATTTGAAAGTGAAACATTTTCCCACTCCTGTTTGATATAGGATTTCAGCTGCTCAACAGTTCAGACTTTGTTGTATTTTTCATCTCATAATGTGCCAAATGTTATCAGTGCTGACAGGTCTGGACTGCAGGCAGGTCAGTTTACCACCCAGACTCTTTTAATACAAAGCAATGCTGTTGTAATACATGCAGAATGTGGTTTGACATTGTCTTGCTGAAATAAGCAAGACCTTCCCTGAAAAAGACGTTGTCTGGATGGCAGCATATGTTGTCAAAACATGTATATATCGTTTAGAATTGATGGTGCCTTCACAGATGTGCCAGCCACCCACACCATGTGCACTAATGCACCCCTATACCATCACGAATACTGGCTTTTGAACTCTGCACTGGTAACAAGCTGAGTGGTCATTAGCCTAGAGGATAGTCTCCATGATTTCCAAAAAGAAATCCAAATGTTGTTTCGTTGGACCACAGGACATTTTTCCACTTCTTTTTAGTCCATTTTAAATGAGCTCGGGCCCAGAGAAGGTGGCAGCATTTCTGTATCCTGTTTATATATGGTTTCTTCTTTGCATTAAAGAGTTTTAATTAGCATTTGTGGATGCAGCACTGAACTGTTTTCATAGTGTTTTTTGTAAGTTTTTCTGAGCCCATGAAGTGATTTCCACTACAGAATCATGTCTGTTTTAATTGCAGTGCCGCCTGAGG